CTCTCTCTCTCTCTCTCTCTCTCTCTCTCTCTCTCTCCCTCTCTCTCTCTCTCTATTTCCTTGGCATATATGAGCTAAAGTTTTGGAATAGGTTAAGGAATCAATATCCCTATTTCCATTCGACAATTTCCATATTTTTCAAAATAATAAACAGGAGTGATGGAGTGAAGAATTTGATGGCTTCATTTAGATTACAATGCTTCTAAGACTGGCTGCAGCATTCAGAACAATTAGTCATTAAAGAAGGAACTATATGCTCGTGAGATATGAGGGGGAAATTAAATGCTAAAGGGCACAGGGAAAGGAAAGGAATTACACAGTAGTCTTGGAATATTACAGTGGTTTGTGAGCCATTACACATCAACTCTGAACTGAAGGCAGAAATCAAACATGAAGTTTGATTTCACTGCAGCCTCGTGAAAACTAATAAAGATTGTAATATCACTGACAACCTAATCACCACATTTGCATACAGACTGGAAAATGACTTCTCCACGTGGGGGCCCCTTGCTTGAAGGGAAAGCCAAGAATATGCGTTCCATTGTCTCAAAGGAAAAAAATATATATTTCTAATAGTCATGAAAGCATTTGCAATCCAGAGTTCAGCTTGTCTTTTAGTTAAAAAACAAAGCGACACCATTTTACTAAAATGATTCCCAACATGAAAGAATAGAGTTATTTTTGCCCTTAATTCATTTCAAAGACAAAGAAAATTGGCCTTCTTCATAGCCTTGGGTACATATTGTTTATCCAAAGTAAAATACAGTAATACCTTGGTTTGTGAGCATAATTCGTTCCAGAAACAAACTACTCATATTCCAAGACATCGCTCATTTACCACGTTAAAAATGTATTAGAAATGTTTGCTCGTCTTGCGGAACACTTGCAAAACAAGTTACTTGCAATCCAAGATTTTACTGTAAATTACAAAAAGAAAGCTTTCCCCTGCCCTCCTCACCTCTGCTTTATCAGCCACCCACCTTCTCTGAACTCCTGGAGACTTTGGTGGACACGCTCTTAGGTCGCCACCTTGTCTTCCTCAGGCAGTTTATGAACAGGTTCTCTAAGCCCTGTAGCTACCTTGACCTATCATTGTAGCCCCGCCAGGAATTTAAGTGGGAGCTTAATCAGTGTTGTTGAACGACTGAATGCATTAAGTATAAGATTTTAGTACTACCTATCAAGTGAACCTCTTTTTATGAAAATAGGAGAGGTGAAAGTGGAAGAAAATAAAAGTCACAATTGTAGGTTTAGTATCAGACTTCATTAGACATGGAAATAGGAATACAAATATTAAACTAAAAGGAAACTGAGGTAAAAGCCCTCTAGGGTAACCAACTGAGCTAGTGTGCCTGGGACGACCTGTTTTAGGACGGAAATCCCCACATCCCAGGAAACCCCTCAGTCCTGGGAAAGCCTTGAGACAGTTGATCACTCTGCAGGCTACCGATGATTCTCAAAACCAAAATCCAAATGTCAACTTAGTTGGAAATTGGCAAGATTCGAGAGGGCTCATCCCAAATGCGCAATACACCCTGTACCTGCCCCACCATGAGGCTCCATCTAAGCTCCGTATTTCCTTCATTACACTTAAAATAATGTGATTCTCCTTCTTGTGGTTCATTTGCTGTCTGTTCTCACTGTTCAGTGTGAGCTCCATGTGGTCGAGGGAGTCATCCAGCTTGCTGCACAATTCTGGAGAAAGGATTTGTGTATCTAATTGTGTCCCCTGTACAGGATGGAAGCAGGAGATGCTCAGGAACAGTGCAGGTAGCACAACACAAGACACAGCTTGATCAGTGGCCCAACCACAGAAGTATAGTTAGGAAAGTCATTAGAATGAGTCCAGTTCATAATTATCAACAGTGATCTTTTGTTGGGTTAAACAAAATGTGTCCATTTTTCGTAGAGTCTCTCAAAGCATTGTTACATGTCCCAAATCATTTCATAGTTCGTTCACTCATTTATTCTTTTATTCGCCAAATGATTGAGTGCCTATTATATGCCAGTCCACTCTACTAGGCTCAGAGCATAAACAGGCAAACAGAAAAGACACAATTTCTACATTGTATATAGCATAGGATAGGTTTTTAACCTGGGGCCCACAGACTTTTTCCCAAAGTTGTTCGTGAACTTGGGTGGGAAAAAAATATAACAGTATCTTCACATAACTCCCATCCCTGGAAATCATTGATTTGTCTCTATCACTATCATTTTATCTTTTCTATATAAACAGAATCATACAGTACGTAGAACTTTTGAGGCTGGCTTCTTTCACTCAGCTTAATACTTTCAAGATTCCTCCAAGTTATCATGTATGTCGATAGTTCATTCCTTTTTATTGCTAAATTGAGTAGTATTGCATAGGGATGTACCACATTTAATTTACCCCATCACCCATTGAAGGACATTTAGATTGTTTCCAGTTATTGATGATTATGCAGAGAGCTGCTATAAACACTCAAAGACAGGTTTTGTGTGTGAACATAAGTTTCCCATCCACTTGGGTAACTACCTAGGAGTGGAATTGCTGGATCATATGCTAAGTGTGTGTTTAGCTTTATAAGAAACTGCCATTGTGGTTTCCCAGAGTGGCTGTGCAATTGGGCATCCCCAGTTGACAATGTTTGAGAGTTCCAACTGCTTTGTCATGGGTGCTTGGTATTGTCGGAATTTTTTTTTTCATCATTCTGTTTCACCATTCTAGATATGTAGTTATATCTCCTCCGGGTTTAATTTGCATTTCTCTAACGGTCAACAATGTGAATATCTCTTCATGTGTTTATTTATTGCTAGGTATTTGCCAGTATTTCATTGAGGAGTTTTGAATCTGTGTTCATGAGGGGTATTGTCCCATAGCTTTCTTTTATTGTACCACCCTTGTCGGGTTTTGACATTAGAGTAAAGCTGGCTGCACAAAATTAGTTGGGAAGTGTTGCCTCATAGAAGAGGCTGTGTAGTATTCATTGTATTTCTTCTTTAAATATTTGGTAGAATTTGCTAGGGAAACCATCTGGGTCTGAAGATTTCTTTTACATAGGTTTTTAACTTCAAATTTAATTTTTAAAATGCTTACAAGGCTACTCAACTAATCTGTATTTCATCTTGAGTGAGTTTGGGTAGTTTGTGTTTTTTTGCAACTTTTGTCCATTGTATCTAAATTGCCAAGTTTATGAGCAGAGTCTGTAGTGATAACCCGTTTTCATTCCTGATGTTGGTAATTTGTGTTCTCTTTCTCTGTGAGTTTTACTGGGGATTTATCAATTTTATTGAACTTCTCAAAAAAACAAGTGTTGGTTTCATTGATGTTTCTCTATTATCTGCGAAACTGTTTTCAATTTTGTTGATTTATGCTCTTCTATTATTCCCTTTCTTTTGCTTGTTTTGGGTTTATTTTGCTCTTCTTTTTCTAATTTCTTAAGGTAGCAGCTTAGACTGTTGGTTTGATACCTTCCTGGTTTCTAATATAAGCATTTTAGTTATATAAATTTCCCTCCAAGTACTACTCTACCTGCAGTCTACAATTTTTTTATCTTTATTAAATTTATGAGTATTGGGGTGACATTGGTTAGTAAAATTATATATGTTTCAAGTGTACAATTCTATAATACATCGTCTGTATATTGCATTGTGTGTTCACCACCCAGAGTCAGTTCTCCTTCCATCACCATACATTTGACCCCCTTTACCCTTTGGTAACTGCTAAACTATTGTCTGTGTCTGAGTTTTTGTTTGTTTGTTTGTTTGTTTGTCTTATTGGTTTGTTGCTTCCAGTTTTATGCCCCACATATGAGTGAAGTCATATGATATGGTTCTTGACTTTTTCTGTCTGACTTATTTCACTTAGCATGATAATCTCAAGATCCATCCATGTTGTTGCAAGTGGCCGTGTTTCATTTTTTCTTAAGGCTGAGTAATATTCCATTGTATGTATGTACCACATCTTCTTTATCCAATCATCTATCAAAGGACACTTTGGTTGTTACCATGTATTGGCCACCTTGAATAATGCTGCAATGAACATATGGGTACATATAGCTTTACAAATAAATGTTTTCAGATATTTTTGGGTAGATACCCAGAAGAAGGATTTCTGGGATGTATGGTAATTCTATTCTTAATTTTTTGAGGAACCACCATAATGTTTTTCATAGTGGCTGCACCAATTTACATTCCCACCAGTAGTATATAAATGTTTCTTTTTCTCCACAACTTCTCCAACACTTGTCATTATTTGTCTTGTTGATAATAGCCATTCTAACGGGTGTGAGGTGGTAGCCTATTGAGGTAGTTTTGATTTGCATTTCCCTAAATAGCTAATGAAGTTGAGCGTTTTTTTATATATCTGTCAGCTGTTTGTGTGTCTTCTTGGGAGAAGTGTCTGTTCAGATCCTCTGCTCATTTTTTAATTGGATTGTTTGGGGGTTTTTTTGTTGAATTGTACAAGTTCTTTATACATTTTGGATATTAGCCCCTTATCAGAGGTATTGTTTGCAAATATCTTCTCCCATTCGATTGGTTGCTTCTTTGTTTTGTTGATGGTTTCTGTTGTTGTGCAGAAGCCTTTTAGTTTAATAAAGTCCCTTTCATTTATTTTGGCTTTCACTTCTATTGCCTTTGAGTTCAAATTCATAAAATTCTCTCTAAACCCAAGGTCCATAAGTTTAGTATCCATGTTTTCTTCTATGCAATTTATTGTTTCAGGTCTTATGTTTAGGTCTTTGATCCATTTTGAGTTAATTTTGGTACATGGTG